CTGATTGGAGGAGCTCAGTCACATGACACACACACACTCATTGTGTAACAGATGTAGTGTGATTACTGGTAAACACACACACACACACACTCTGAGCGGGAGTTCTGTGTGCTCTACACTGTGAGCAGGTCTGGCTGTGCTGCACCACTTCATGCGATGCGGAAGTGTGTGTGTGTGTGTGTGTGTGTGTGTGTGTGTGTGTGTGTGTGTACTGACTCTTCTCCATGCAGCAGACGTGGCAGAGCTCCGTCTCGTCTTTGCCTTCAACACTGGCGCAGGTGCAGACCTCCAGACCGTACTTCTCACAGATGGAGCCGGAGCAGCCCTGAAACACACACACACACACACACACACACACACACACACACACACGTTGACGCTTGATGCTGACGCCCCGTGTGAATGAGGCGTCACATGGCGAATGCTCCCACATGCAAACATGTCGCACTAAACAGACTATATTAACCATGTACACCCGTCATGACTGAAGCAGCCTCATGTGGAACAGTTCAGCTTCTGTGTGTAACGGCCGTGTTGGATGAGGACGCTGTAGGAAGCGGATCGACACACAGCAGAAGCTCAGTGGCTGTATCTGCTGATGTTCATCAGGGTTTGGACGCTGTGTTGCTTTAGTTAGTTCTGCTCATTCAGTAATAACAGAATCAGATGTGTTTACTCACCCCGTTGAGGCAGACCTGTGTGTTCCCGTGGCAGGCGGTGAAGTTGGCCTTGGGTTCAGAGGTGGGGCACTGGGCCGAGGAGCCGCTGCACAGACCCTGATGAGCACACTCAGACTCCTCACGACACTTCTCATTATGACCCTTATAGGAGCACTCGAACGTGCAGCACGGGCCCTGACTGGGGCTGAACACACACACACACGCACGCACGCACGCACGCACGCACGCACGCACGCACACACACACACACACACACACACACACACACACACACACAGTTATGAAGCTGAACTCTCCTGCAGTCGTGTAACTGAGCATGTGGAATAACTCTGACTACATGTGTCCGAGCGGATCACTGAGCCGAGTTCGTCCTTTGTTTGGCTGTGTGTGTGTGTGTGTGTGTGTGCGTGTGTGTGTGTGTGTGTGTGTGTGTGTGTGTGTGTGTGTACCTGCACACTTTCCCAGGTTTGAGTTTGCACTTCTTGTTGTCGGGCTGATTAGCATCGTAGCAGCAGTCGTCTTTACACTGATCGCTGTATCCACAGTCACACTGCTCACCCGGCTCCACCAGCCCGTTCCCACAGATCGGCTGCCCGGACTCTGAGCACACACACACACACACACACACACAGGTCAGGTGTGTCCATAAGGGTGTGAGGGTCATCAGTAGAGCTCGGATGGTTTGGTCAGTGAGTGCAGGTATGGGTAATCTCCACTGCTCAGGCTGACGGGCTTCAT